CCTGCCCTGACATTCCCTGTTCTAATCTCCCTCCCAGCTCTGACATTCCCTGTTCTAAGCCTTTCCAGGTTTTACCTGTTCTGCCCCTGCTCTGAGCACCCATCTTACTTGGTCCCTCTCATGCCTTTTTCATATTCATGTCAGAACTGGGAGGGACCTTAAAACAAGGGATGTCAGCTGAAAGGGAGCTTAGAACAGGGGATGTCAGAGCTGGGAGAAAACTTAGAACAAGGGATGTCAGAGCTGGGAGGGACCTTAGAATGGGGAATGTCAGAACTGGGAGAAAACTTAGAACAAGGGATGTCAGAACTGGGAGGGACCTTAGAGCAAGGTATGTCAGCTGAAAGGGAGCTTAGAACGGGAGATGTCAGAACTGGGAGAAAACTTAGAACAAGGGATGTCAGAGTTGGACAGGACTTTGGTTATCACCTACTCCAACCCCTTCTTTTTTATGGATGAAGACATTAAAACCCAAAAAGACCAACTGACTTACCCAAGGCTCTCTTCCTAGCACTAACCCTCAGGAAGCTTCTAGTCTAGCAGGGTGATAAGGCTGTGACTTCTCTGTGGGTAATCTTGATACATAGGCCATAGTGAGTGCTATGAGATCACTCCTAGCCGGGGGGGGGGGGGGGGCGCGCGGCGGCGGCATTCTGAGAACGAGGGAGGGCTTCATGAAGGAGTCCGATTTCCAGGTGGCCCTTGAAGGCTGCTGCTGCTGCTGCTGCTGCTGCATAAACCATTGGCAAACCTCAAGCTCAGGCAGGAGAGAAGGACAGAGCAGGGAGGGGCCCCAGGGAAGGTAAGCAGGTGTCTCTGGGCGGGGCAGGCAGGAGACCAGAGCCATGTCCGCCATGGCCAGGGCCCTCCCTGCCCCAGAGTGGCCGCCTCTTGATGCCACTGATGGGCGTCACCTTTCGTGTCTTTCCCCAGGTACAGCACATGGGAGCCAGAAGAACACATCCTGGACCCCCGCCTTGTCATGGCGTATGAAGAGAAGTAAGCCAGCCCTTTGTTATTCCTGCTGGTGTGGGGAGGGGGCAGGCAGTGGGGGGTCCACGCCACTGTTCCCGAGCATTTCCTGAGCGTCTGTCCTTATGCTCAGCCTGAGAGTACAGAGGAGCCACAGGCCAGATCCCTGCCCTCACCAACCCACAGTGGAATCATTTCTACTAGCATTTATGAAGCACCTACTATGTGCTAGGCTCTGGGGATACTGAGGTGAAAAATGGCATAGGCTCTGCTCTCAAAAGCAAATGAGCTGGGCATCAGAGGGACAGAAAAGGTTGCAGACAACTGAGGGTCAGGGTGGAATCTAAGCAGGCTTCATGAAGGAGGTAGCATCCAAGTGGGACTGGAAAGGAAGGTCATGATTTCAGCAGCCTGGGAGAGAAGAGTATGCTTCATTCTTGTTGGGCATACATCTTGTACCCATGGAAGTGTAAGTGGGAGAACAAGGGGTGTCCCAAGGTAGCACACGATTGAGGGCCAACCAGTGGCCCAAACAGCTTGTGCCCAGCCTGGGGAGGAGACATCATGGAGAACCCTGCCTTCTCCTTCCTGCAAATTTGCCTCAGTTTACCTCTGTAGACTAAGCCAGGGACATTCTTATGTCAGTGAGAGATCACTCCACTACCACCCTCAGCCCCCTGCAGGGGAATGAGCGCTTGCCTGGGAGTCAGAAGACTTGGGTTCAGGTTCTCCTTGAACCTGAGAAAGTCCCTGCCCTCAAGCAGCTTACAATCATGTACCTAGAGATGATCCCTTTGGGTGGTGTTTCCTACATCCCTGACCTGTTATGCTGCATTGGTCCAGACACCTGGTGTCCCTCTGTGCCTCAGTTTCCCTGCAGGGAAAAGTCATATAAACACAATAACAGTTTGGCTTTTTTTTTAGTCATGATTGCGGTGAAAATAGCTCATAGAATACTGTGATCTTTAGAAGGAAGAAGCACCAGTCTAAGAGTGATAAGACTCAAGTTCCAGTTCAGTCTGGATGTGTGACTTGAAAAGGCTGCTTCCCCCCTAGGCCTCAGTCTTTTCATGTGTAAAATGAGGAGGTTGGTCTACTTGCCCTCTAAGGTCCCTCCTAGCTCACAGATTCACAGGTTGTGAGAGCTGGAGGAGACTTGGAGGAGAGAATGTCTGTATTGGGAGGGGGCTTAGAACTGAAGTCTGAACTGGGAGCAGTCATAGAGCACAGAATGGTAAAGCTATGAGGCAGAGCTGAATTTGGAGTCAGACAACCTAGGTTCAAGTCTTAAAACTCTGTTACTCCTACCTGCGCAAGTCCCTTAACTTCTGTGGACCTCATTTTCCCTCTCTGAAAAAGGAGGGAGGTGGATAGATCATCCCTAAGGTTTCTCTCAGTTCAAAAGCGAGAATCCCATGACCTGGTCCTACTCTGTTGTACAGAAGGGAAAACCGAGGAGGCTCAGGGAGCTGAAGTCCCAGGCTTATAATCCCAAGATAGGCAGGGGTCTTGGGAATCATCCTGGCAGTCTCATGGGGTATGAATCCCTCTCTGACAGCCAGTTTTTGCTTGGAGACCTTCAGCAAGGGAGAAGTCCCTTCTGCTAGCTCAGTGGCCCATCTGGGATGGGGGGTCTCTAAACATTGGGATGTTCTTCACTCTTGTTACTGAAGTTGGCTTCCCCATCAGTCTCATGACCTTGGTTTTGGCCTCCCCCTTCTTGTGGCTAAGTGACCAGGACACCACAGGAGTAAAGAGGAAAGAGTCCTGTATCCAAAGTCCTGGTTCTGGCCCTGACCAGCCAGGGACCTTGGTCAAGTCCCCATTTCCCTTATAGAATGAGTAATTTGCATTGGGTGACCTCGGAGAGATCTTCCAGCCTAAAAAAGGTTAACAAGCATTATGAAGCCTTTGCTACACAGACAAAAGGAGCCAGTCTCTGCCCTTGGGATGCTTCCAGCCAGGCCATGAGGAATGTTCCCTGTGGGTGAACTTTCCCAGCTCCCTCCCTCCCAGCAACCTCTTAGATTGCCTTGGTTTAGACACTCACAGTCCCTGTACCTTGGTTTCCCTTCGAGGAACCTGTCAACTGGCTTTTTTTCCCAAAGCATGTTCATCTTAGCCTTTCACTTGAAGAGAACAAAGCTTCATTCTCTTCCATTCACAAACATTTGCCCAACATCTGCTGGGTGCCCAGCACTGTGCTAGGATAGGCATCTATCCTAAGTATGGAAAACAGGAAAGGAGAATAGTACAGTATAGACGTCACACACACACACATGTATGTGTACATGCATGCATGCATATACACACATGTCCTGACACTCATACTCTTACATATACCTACTCATAAACACACACGTATGCTCACATGCTCATACTCTTATACATATGGTTATATGCTCATACATACACACATATATACATAGATACACTCATTCACTCATACATACACACACTTATATTCACACACACCTATTCTCACTTATATACACATACACACATATGGTTACATACTCAGACTTACACACATATATACATATATACACTCATTCACTCATACACACACATACACACACACACATACACACATACACACACACACACACACACACAACAGAGGCCAGGAGGGCAGACAGCCGATACCAAGATGTTCCCAGAAGGGCCAAGATGTTCCCAGAAGGGCCTCATCTGCAGCAGATGGTCCAGAAAATGGGGCATAAATCAAATCTAACGTTCCATTGACTTGTAATTTACAAGAGTCTTTAATTTCCATTTTTAACTCATTTTCTCATTACTCTATATGACTTTAATTGGTATCTTTTGGTTTTATATCACCTTTATTTCCAAATTCTTCTTCTTCCATAGAGGACCATCCCCAGTGACAAAGTATACAAAAGGCAACCAGGAGGGGGAAAGTAGCTCAGGGAAACTAGGTGAGACGTCATTTGCGTTCTGCATCCATAGACCCCCGCCTCTGCAAAGAAAGGAGGGAAGGCCATTTTCTCTTCCGCTCTTTGGGGCCAAGCCTGGGAGCTGTCATCACACAGCATGTTGGACCCGTTTTCAGCAGAGAGCCTGTTTCTGGATCCCCTCCACCCTGTCCCAGCCTCTCTGCCAAGGTGCGGATAGCCCATTAAAAACAAAACAAAACAAAACAAAAAAACAAACCTAGGGCATCCTGGAGGTGTCGAGGCTGTCTCTTTTTGCAAAGTGCTCTTCTGATTTCTGGGTTTGGACTTGACCTAGCAAAACTCCTTGATTCAGCTTATTTAAAACATGTATTAAGGCCCTCCTGAGGCCCCCATCCAGGTGATCAGGCAGAACGTGCCCAGGGCAAAAGTGAGGCCGCTCCCAAGAGACTTCCTGGAGGAAGCAGCTTCTTGGGATCAGAGGGATATAGGTCTGAGAGACAGCCTCATCTGATCCCTTCGTTTTATAGAGGAGGAAACTGAGGCTTCCCTGATGGTGTGAGTGATTTATCTAAAATCACATAGGGAAGAACGGACAGGCCCCGGTTTTGAGCCTAACTCATGGATGTGCCTTGAGGTACCTTTTTGCAATAGCAGCACAAGATCAGAGCTGGGAAGACTTTGAAGGTGATTTTACAGATGAGGAAACTGAGGCCCAGGGTGAGGAGGTGACTGGCCCAGTGCCACACAGGCAGGATCCTAGGCCTTGATCTGGAAGGCACCTAAGAAGTCATCTTGTCAAAGCCCCTCCCTTCATGAAGGGGGAAACTGAGGCCAACGTAGTTCAAGAGCCAGGATGTGAATCCAGGCCCTTTGACTCCACACCCAGAGTTCTTTCTGTCGCATCCCACTGCCCGGCCTTCCCGGAGCTGAGCCTCCAAAGGAGGAAGGGTTTCTGGCTGACGGGGGCAGGGGCGGTGTTAGGGATGGGGACCTGGGGTCAGCCCTGGATTCCAAGCCCTGGGTCACACACACACACACACACACACACACACACACACACACACACACACA